GTATATATACTATATATATATATATATATATATATATATATATATATATATGCACACACATACTGACATGCCCGTATATATATACCTCTCTTCGCACTCTTGAAACCATGAAGATATTCTTGAAACGAACCCGTGATGTACTTGTAGATGTACTTGTACTTGTACGCTTAGCATACGCATGAAATGTCATATATACATCTCGTCACCATTGTGTACATGTACATGCCTACTCTGTTGTAGACACTTACTTATGATCCATTGTAGATACGTACTATTAAACGTTTGATATTTGCGATACTAGTTTCACCGCATGGGGTCGATGGACAGCCTATCCCACGTAGTCGTCGCCGGGCCCATGATCGTACGCGGCGAATCCAAAGAACGTATTGCACACCTCGACCGCAGCACCGGTGTACCGAAGAGCTCAGTCTCAACTGATAGCTATCCCAGTCACAGCCATACCAAATCGCTCTCAATTAGCACACCCATCCAGACCCCACCACACTGCCATGCACGCACACGAAGCGTAGGTTTGGATGTGTGCCTGGAGGTGACCGGGTTTATAGCACCCAGCCCTGCGGACAGTACAAGACTGATGTCTAAGTGTAGCCGGATGTCGCTGGACATGGGCAATTGCTCGCCTGTCTCGAGTGTCGAGGACTTCAATGGTGGGTATTTGTTTTATGTAGTTTGTACATACACCGTATGAGTGATGCGGGGTGTACAATTGACCTCAGCTGTTGTGTGTTGGACCGTGTGCTGGAAGGGTCTGTGTTATATATAGATAGCTGCAATGGTGATGTAGTGTTTTGGTTGTGGTTGATTGTGTCTTACTAGGCGGATGTTTACGAGTTGCCGATGTCGTTGGATGTGGGACAATTACTTGCACGTGCGTTGGATGTGGGACAATTGCTTGCACGTGCCTAGTGTCGACAACTTGCATGGCAGGTATTTGTACGTGGTTCAAACACAACATACCTACACAACAATATGCTATTCTGACTATAACTTTAAAATGAGCCGCTGTGTGCCGAATTGGTGTACTGAAGATGTTAATGTGACATCCCTATGGCCGTGTAGATGAGCAGTTGAGAGACTGACGTGATTGATTTAGAAGTATAGGTTTGTCTCACTGGCACTTTATTTGCAGTCGTTCGCTCATGGCAAGTGCCGAGGACATGTAGAGACCTGAAATTTCTCTGTGACCAATTCAAAAAGCGTCGGTGTTGTCATATAGTTGTGCCTGGTTGGTACCTTGAGCCACTGTACTACTTCAATAGTGTCCGTGTCTGTGTGGTACCCGATTTTGCACCGCACAAACCCGCCAACACCACCCCCAGCACCCCCGCAGTCAATGGGTCTGGATAGACATCCTTCGCCTGGTATACCTGACTGCCACGGTACCCTCCTCTCCATACCTCAAGTACTGATATCCCGTGTGACACTCCTTGCAGCCAGCATAGACGAGTTTGCCCCGCGCGCCACCTTTGCCATCCCCTCTACCAGCAACGCCAATCTGTACCGAAACAGCTCACCCGTGCTTGAGGAGGATAGCTCGAGCGGGACATTGTGTCTGTCTCTGTCGACTGGTTCAACGAGGTCGTCCAGATGGAAAGAGGGCGAGTTTGACCTGGCGCCCCCTCTCACAAAACCACCGGTCACAAAGCGGCGAAGCCTGCGAAATAGGTGTGTGTGTGTGTGTGTGTGTGTGTGTACAAGTGGCAGGACGTATGTAACACGTGTTTGATATAGAATATCTATATATGCACTGCACGTACACACACACTGCAAAGGAATAAAGCAATAAAGCGCCTCAGCGTCTATCTCCGTCGAGGAGCTTGCCGAGTTCACTGAGCTTTTTAAGGCGAGATAAGAACGCTTCTCTGGCTGATCCACCGATCCAAATGCGGTGAATATATATATATATATATATATATATATATATATATATATATTGTGTGTGTGTGTGTGTGTGTGTGTGTGTGTGT